CAGGACTCAGGTGGGGTTAAGCCCACAGGGCTGTGGCTGGGCTGGCTGCTAGCAGTGCACTGCAGTAAGAGCCAGCAACTACAGATTCTGCTGTCTCCGTGCAATCTCCACTGCAGTGGTGCTAATTGTCACCATCTCAGAGCCTTCAGGTGGCAGCTTCTAACTCACAGCACAGGAATTTGTTATGTTAATTATTGCTTGCCAGCCAGAAAGGCATCTGCATGTCTACTCCAGCTCTCCTGGAGTTCTGCACTGCGGTCTCACTTGCCCTCTGTGCACTTATTTGGAAGAAAATCACTTGACTCCAATGCAGAATAAAGAGATTGGTGTCAAAAAGGCTGGAATAGCATCCCCGTGGATCCTTATGTCTGGAGAGGCTGAATCAGAAAGTGTGGTTTTGTATGGTCCTAAGAGGACCTCAGCAGAAAAGCAAAGGAATTTCTGCCTCCGTGTGGTAGAGGGGAAGGGGAGGAGATTTAGCTGTTTTTCAATATGTTTTATTTTATGGCATTACTCCTCTTACAAACATGTGACCTGCAAACCCAGTAGACTTGTGAAGGAAAGACATGAATCATTTATGATCATTTCATTCTGTATTCGGTAAGGGATTTCTTGGTAGTATCATGTGCCTTAATTACACTGGAATCCCCCACTCAGAAGTTCAGGAGAGCAAGCTGAAAATAAGGAGGGGGGAAAAAAAAAAATCCTTAAGTCTGTGACTAGCAAACAAAGCTTCTTTTTACATCCTGCACTCACTGGAGAGATCCAAGAAAAATGCAGTCGTTTCAGCCTCCTTCTGATCACATATTGATAAAGTTTATTGTGCCTGACTCCAGCTTTTAGCTCAACACAAATCCCTCTGAAGCAGATGTCATTTATTAGCCCTGTAGTGCACTGAGTCCAGCAGTGTCTGTGCTGCCAAGCTTGGGGAGCCGCAGCACCCACCATGGGTGGCTCTCAGCTGGGATTCAGGGTGCTGGAAGCAGGCACTGAACCCACAGCCACGAGCAGGACTAGAGATTTACCTGCTGTTAATGTATTTCAGTTTAATTGCAGCAGCCAAGAGGGTGGAGGTAAATAAGAAAGTAATGAAAACCATAATTTGGGGATCTTCCTTGTCGCAGGGACACAGATCGTTTCTTTATTCTCCTCCAAAGGGGTATAACTTGGTAATAATTTTGTTGCACTGACATTTATGGGAAAGACTTGAAAGGAGCAGAAGAAAAGAAACAAGCTAAGGGTCAGCTTTCCCTTGCTGGTAGCATGCATCAGAGCTGACACGCTTCTGAAGTTCTTCCCAAACCCCCCTCAAATCAGCACTTAGGAGGTGGTTAATTGGCCGTTAGAGGATCCTGGGCTGCTGTTGGGAAGCCCTCGTTACAGGGTGGTGGGGACCCTGGCTCTCCGTTCTCCTGACCCCCCGTGTTCTTCTGCAGAACCTCAGTGGCTGTTCGTGCCTCACCTCGCTCCCTGCTGCCAACGCCACCGTGGTCCCTGGCAAATGCCCCAGTCCTGGCTGTGAAGAGGCCTTCCTGACATTCCTCTGCGTGATGTGTGTCTGCAGCATGATCGGGGCCATGGCGCAGACGCCCTCGGTCATCATACTCATCAGGTGGGACACCGAGCTTGGCGGGGCTGCTCCTGGGCTGGGGGCAGGTCTGGGGGACCACAGGGAGCCAAGGGTCCTGCACGGCTCCTGGCCTCGGCCTTTTAGGCTGTGCTGAGTGTCCTCAGATCCATGACTTTGGACAGAACCTCTGCTCAAGCCACCAGAAAATCCTCCTTTGACTAAAGACTCCCTGGTGGAGACCAAGGCACTGTTTTCCTCGGTAGCACCTGGCCCCCACCGAGCTGGGTGCCTGCAGTCCTGACCTGCTAGAGAGCATGTGGGGATTGCTCAAGTACAGCTTTGGTGAAACAGGAGTGAGGAGGAACTGGCCTTGCAAACTAAGAAGATCCCTGCAGAGCTGCTGCAAAGAAAGGTGCAGGCTTGTTCTGAACAAGGCTGGGATTAGCGTGGGAAGGGAAATACAGCTTCCAGTCCACATCATAAGGACGTTACAACTGCATCAGGAAAGGGGCAGAATTGCAGCCCTGTGTTCTCAGCACATAATGGCTTAATAATATACCTGTAGATATGCCTGGAGATCGTGGAGAAATGAAAGGCTGCTGCAAACGCTGGCTTGGGTCAATACCCCCCTGGCTAGAGTTTAACTTCTCTCACCCTGGACCAAGTCCAAAAACAGAAGGAACTTGAAAGTCTGAAGGACATCTCTGAGTTGAACTAATATGAATAGGTGGGCAAAAGTAGCTTATTCAAATAACTGACCTTGTGTTATTTCCAGACACATGGAACACTTCACCTTATGATATGTGTATCTATCTCAGCCCACATTTGTCCAGAATTACTAATCTGTCCAGGCTGTCACTTGCTGAGAATAATAACCAGAGGCATAAATAGCAGATCCATTCTGCTGCCTGGAAAATTCCAATAAAATTCAATCAATAAGGTCTGTATTAGAAACACACTCCTGAGTGGATCTTGGACGGAACAGCTCTGTGAGGGCATGTCTCCCTGCAGGATACAAAATGAGATATTCCACCTACTAGTTTGTTTCTCTCTTTGCATCTACGGTAGCTGAAGGGAAATCAAATTTCTCATGATAAATATTGTGGCAAAAGTAATTTGAAGTTTGAAGAGTTCTTTGTTCAAGGGAGCTGCCAGCACCTGTAGGATCCTGAATGGAGATGTCTTCCTGATGACTCCAAATGAGATAAGCCAGTCACCAGCCAGGAGGAAGAACACAAGGGAATAAGAAAAGCAAAGGGTATATTAAAAATAGTCAGCTCACAGCTGTAGGAAGGTAAACACTTCACACATCCAAATGAGTAACTACGCTCCCCTCAGCATCACTCACAACTGCTAAAAAGTGTGGGGAAGAGCTCTTCACCTCATGCTGTCTTGCAACTGCCATTTTGGATTGCTAAAAGAAATTTTTGGCATATGAGTGTGTCCCTGGTGTCCCTGGCAGTGACAAGTGGCATCAGCAGCTCCTATGGTTCATTTAAAAATGAACTTCAGTGTCTACAAATGAGACATTTTGTCTAGGCAAGTCATTTGTTCACTGTTGTAGTTGGTGAGATGTCTCCAGGTGGCAGCTTTATACCACCCTAAAGTATGGGGATTGACTTGGGTCTTAAATACAAAAAAAGTGGACTGATGGACACCACCACCTTTTAAAAACCCACTGTGAATATTTCACATCATGATCTTAACCTTTTCCATAAAAGAGGCTTTAATACTCCTCCTGCTTCCTTCATTTCCCACCCTGCTGTAGAATCTGATTTGAGCCAAGGCATTAACCACTGGGGTGCTCTTCCAAGGGTGGATGTTTCGTGGCACAAAGGCTTTATATCCAGCCTGGGGGGTCTGCCTGAAAACTGCTGAAATAGAGCCAGAGGTCACAGGCTTCATGGGCCGATGTTACGTGGTCAGTGTAATGTGTGAGATGAGGGCAGGTGGTCAGAGTGGTCTTCTCAGCTTAAAATCTGCTGGTTTTTTCTTGCTGTTTTATCTGTACTGTCTCATGCCCCTCCAGTGTATTTATGCAGAAGACCTTCACTGTGGGTGCCCCCGGCAGTGCTGCCAGCAGACCTCTGGAGGGAGCTGATGGAAGAGGCAGCTTCGGCCTTTAAAGTTCCCCTGTGTGATGAATCTGTTGATATGAAGATCACTGTCCTGCTTTCCCAACCTTTGTATACTGTGGGAAATAAAATGCCATTTTAAGATTTAAGACCAAATGAAAGATTTCTGCATTTCTAAAGGCTTTGCTGAGCCTACCTCCAGAGGATGAGTTCAGCCAGTAGCATCCTCAAGCTAAGCGAATTAGAAATCCATGAATTATTTTATATAAAGCACCTTTGAAGGATAACACTAATGAAATAAAGTGGCTGGTGTTCAAAGCAAAAAGCAGACACCACCGTTGTCCTCCCAGCATCAAAAAAATTCACCTGTTAAACTCATGCCTATGAAAACTAGTCTTGAGCACATCCTGACTGGGAGGCTTGGTTTAACAGTCTGAACCTCTTGGTCCATCGTCCTCTCTTCTCTCTCGTGTTCCCAGTAGTCTGGGAAGCCTCAGAACAAAAGGTTTTCTCTTCTATCAATGGAAACAAACATCTGGAGCCTTGAAAGCATGATGGAGAGCTTGTAAATGATGATTTACTGGGATGGGGATTTCATTTTTCTCCATCCAACAACAAGATTAGCTGTTGTTATTAATGACTTAGCTAAATTCCTGAACCCATCACCAATGCAATTACTTTTGGGGCTGTAGGCAGTTCAGGCGGAGGGAGAAGAAAAACCCCATTAATGACTTTTTCAAGAGGTGGTGGTGGCATCCTGGCTGACAGCACAGAATGGCCACGGGGTGTGTTAATCAAAGCAGAACAACAAGAATCGATTTCACTCTCTCCCTCTCTCCTCCCTGCAGAACCGTCAGCCCCGAACTCAAGTCTTATGCTCTGGGGGTGCTTTTCCTGCTGCTCCGTTTGCTAGGTAGGTACAAAAATGCCACGTCCTTCTCTCCCATCTTCCCCTCCCTCCCAGAATATTGTATTTTTAAAGTGCAAAAGTTGGATTCTGCTCTTTGCAGTGCTGTGGTTGCCATGAGTGGGGTTTGAGGCCACAGGGTCTGAGCCCTCTCTAGGAAGGACATCCCATCAAGGCTCTTGAAGGCACTTTTTCTGCCATTTGAATTGTGCTAATGGAAGGAAATATGGTGTTGCAAGAGAAATGACTGTTTCTGCCGTGGTCCCACACGACCAGTTATTCTTCTATAGCTGTTATTAACATGTCAGCAGCCTGCAAAACTACTGCTGCATTGCATATTGCTGAAGTAGAGGGATATGTATTTTCATCCTCCTTTGAGGGACAGGACCTGGGTTATGTGGTGTGTTTGTCCTGTCCTTGGGGTCTCTCAGAAAGGGAACCAGTGAAATGAGACAGGCTGAGTCCTTGTATCCTCCTGTGGGTTAATAACCCATTAAAATGCATATGGCTGCTGCTCTGGACTGGTGTGTACTCCTTGTGTATGAATTAAAAGGAACACACTGGGCTGTTATTCACCCACTTCTCATTTCTAGGTGGAGAGATTTTTCCCCTTTTGAAGAGATGGCTCTTATTCTACAGCTCCTATATTTCAGCTCATTAATCTCAATGATTCAGGGCAAAATCCTCTCTGATCCATCATTGTGTCAGCCCACCTCATGCACAGGGTTTCTGCATGTTGTGGAGGTGGAATTTGCTGGGTTTTTTTTAAGCAGGGCACAGTCAGTACCTTCCCTGCATGGCACCTACCCCCAACCCCAGCCCTGTGTCTCAAAGGAATGAGCTAGAGAGTAAAATGCCATCTCCTAGGGTGCAGTGAGGCACATATTATACATTGCTTTGAATAAATGACCTCATTTGTTTACTTATTTTTCATAACACCTTATTCCCCATTAGCTGAAAGGGATGTGGTGGTCCCAGGCCAGTTTACAATAAAGCCAGTTAGACTTCCATTGCTTTTGGTGAAGTAACAGAAAGCTCCATCAAGCAAGCTTCTCCAGGGCTCAGATGGCTACAAGGGAAGCTTCTGGGTTGACTTGGGTCAGCTCTGGTTCAAGCCTTGCAGTGGCAGCATTTTCTTTAGCTGGTGGGGGTGCTCTCTGGTTTTGGGCTGTCTTGCTCTCTGGTTTTGGGCTGTCTTCAGCTCTCCCTGGCTGAATGCAGAGTGTCAGCAGGCAGGTCAGCAAGGAGGATGGCTGTGGGCTGTTGTTTCCAAAGGAAAAAGTTCTTAAAGGAGGAGTTTCTCTTTTCTCTTTTCCTTTCAAAAGGGAGAAACCTCCTGAGATGGTGGCATGTTGAATTCCTCCAAAACCATGCTCAGACATGTGTGCTTAAGTTGAATAGATCTTTTTGGGTTTTACATCCAAAAAAGAAGCTCGAATTCTTTAAAAGTGAGAATTTAAGCTCAAATCTTTATATGTTGCTTTGTCACTAAGCAGTTCCCATGGGATAAGACAATACTTCCTGAAGCATATCAGCAAAGTAGCTTGAACCCAGGGAAAATGAAGAGAAAGGTACTTTTCAAGATGAGCAAGAGTATCCAAATTTTGTCCTTAACAACCTGAGGTTTGAGAATAGCTTTACTGATTTATTTTAAAAGCTTTTCAGTTCACCTTTAAGCTTTGACTTAAGAAGAGAGTGATAATAGCTGCTTCTTGAACCAAAGGAGAGTATTAAATGTAGGAGGTATGAGACCCGGAGGTGCAATCGTAGCTAATAGATTTCAGTAAGACAGGAGCAGCTTTTCTTCTACAGCCCTACAGTTTTTGCAGTGAAATATATATATATATAGCAGAAATTTTTGCAACACTTTGCAGTAAGAGGTAAAACATGATTGAATCTCTTTAATATTCACTGTAATAACATGAACCAAGACTGAATTCTCCCGATATCCTCCTGGATGTGTTATCTAATTCCATAGGAACTCTGCTGTGAGAGAGCAGCATTAACAGTGTCTCCATAAAAAAATTGTTACTGCAGTTTCTCAGAGAAGAGAGTAAAGTAATCCTTTGTGCCAAAGGGTTGGAATGGAAATAATCTGCAGTGGCAAAGAGGTTTAGATTTGTAAGATCCTGGCCACATCTTTCTGGATGGTGTTCACCAGGCATCCTCCTAGCAAAGCCTCCACTTAGCTCAGCACTTCTTTTGTCCTACAAGCTCCTCTTAGAGACTACTGTTTCTAACAAAAAGATTGTCTTGCTTTTCTACCATCTGGTTTTATTTACTCCATTTGTGCTATTAATGACTGGTTAAAATGAGAACCAAAAGCCCCTGTAGCCTTTCTTAACTCCTGCATTTATTTACGTGCAAGGAAGATCAAACAAAACCTGCAGAGCATGAGTCATGGACAAAATAAAATGAAGACATCTCAGTTACCACAGGGAACAGTGAAGACAACCAATTTATTTGTAGTCTTGGGATATATGTCATGAATGTTACTACTTTGTTCATGACAAGCTGATGGAAGGTATCTTTTTTAAGCGTGGAAATCCAGGTTGATGATGAAACTGGATCCAAGATTAAACACTTTCCTGTCTAGAAACTGCAGTCCCTGTGTGTGTCTGTCTACACAGGTATTTATAGAGCCTCAGTCTATCACAGCACCTATGGATGTGGTGATACCATTGAGGGTCTGTTGTGCCTACCTGCTGTTGGATTTCAGTAGATGTGATGCTCTCCTTTGCTTGCTGTCTTAACCTATAACAGTGATTTTATCAATAAGGGTCTTTTCCAGGGTTTTTTATTCTTCCAGCCTCCCCTCATAAATACAGCAGCAGAGGAAGAAATGGTTTACATAGGTAGAACATCCACGTTTTCTTTGGAGTGCTGCACACTCAGCACACATGTGCTGGCTGGAGAGTGCAAAGTTGGAACGTAGATGTCCTAACCATGGTCAGGTAGTGTGAAAAGGGGCCTCTACAACAGACCTGTAGGATGGGGAAAAGTAGAGAAGAAAAACATCACTTTATTAGGTAAATGAGATTGGAATGATTACTTGGCTTTAAGATTGCAGCTCTGCTGCGAACTATGATTGAGAAAAGCTCATCATTAGTTAGCTGCAGTGGCTGTGAGAGAATCCTGCTGTGCCATTTCATTTAACAGTGAAATTTTCCCTTCTTTTCAGAATTAATCTTTGGCATCTGTTCCAGGCCATTGTTTATTTTGCTGAGACCCAGTAAAAAACCTTTTGTCTCAGGGAAAGGTCCAAAACTAGACCTCAGTGCCTCAGCTGATTTCAGGCTCTGAACTGGAGTCCTGTGACACCCTCAGGTGACACCCCAGAGTGCAGAAGTGCCAACACCTAAACAGAGAGCAAGCTGTGAGGCTGTCCTGCTCCTCTTTCATTTATCCCTCCACTCAGTCTCATTAGGCAAATGAGGAGCTTCATCAAAGCCTCTTAAACTTGAGTAAAATCTTCCCTGCGTGTTGATATCAGCAGG